TCCAAACAACTACAGGCAACTGCCTCTTCACGACTATTAACTAAATGCGGACTAAAGCGCTTAACTAGGATGCCCACCAGACTCCATTGGACTAAGGAACCATGCGTGGCGTATAAAATCAGTCGTTGACTACATGACGCTAATATTTTTAACAGCTTGCTTAGATAGTTCCGTTCGTTTTACTAATATAAATTATTAGTATATACCACAGCGAAGGTAAGTATATGTACTGCAGTCGGGATTGAAATAGCATTAGAAAAGTTGCACGTATTAAACGAATTTGTTAATTTTATAAAAATGATTGTGATATTTTATTATTAACATTGTTTATTTGTATATACATATATTATTTCAAACAAAATAAAAATGGAGATTTTTTAAGAACGGGAAAGTATTACCTAAGATTTACGAAACACTGCATGTATTGTCTGGTATTAGCCCCAATCTGTTGTACCATCCGACACATATTTTTTCAAATCGACCACATGGTCGGCTGAAAACGTTATTAGTTTTCCAGTCCCAGAAATAACTCAAATTCCTTTTATATTCAAAGAAAAATGTAAATACATAATGTAATTATTTAATTTTCCAAATATTTATTATGTTTTCTTTTTACAAATATTGCTTACTTTTGCAATAATATTAAATTAATGCGTTTATTGCATTTTTTAAGTAACTTTGACGCAAACTGTAAGGTTGGATAGTCAGAAAAGTATGCTATCATATTTTAATGTTCGATAACATTTGACACGGATTGCCATATTTCCGGAAGTAGATGTAGCTCACATCAAGGAACATGCATAATTTGTTTGTGCAATTTTCTTTTAAGAATATTTATTTATGCGATAAGAACAATCGGTATAAAATATGTAATATAAACTTATCGAATTTTGCAAACAAACCGAAATTATGATATAGCAACATCAAAAATTGGGTCAAGGCGGTTTTGTTAATTAGAATAATAATTTATTGAAATAGAACAATCTTTCGATTCTTGGACGGATTATAAAAATTTCAAGGCACTTCATTTACAATACATAACTAATTCGAGTATTAGTACTGGGAATATTTAACAAATACTTTACAAGTATAACCTGAAGTTTAAATATAACAATTATCTCAAATAATTTTTTTAATACATGTGTGCTTGATACTTTGAATGGAGTTCATTATATACTCATTTGCAAATTTTCTTGATTATTGTATTTATATTCTAAAAAAGTAATATTTATGTAAAAGATAATTTTATATTACACATAAAGGTATTCAAACAGTAACAGTTAGTACCTTACATGAATGTTTGATCATGTTGTTCATGAATCATTGTTGCTCTTCTAGATTGCACCATACTACTTTGCCTATTATACAATTCACGAACCAAGTTATCCTTTTCTTGTTCAAGTATCGCTATTCGTTGGCTCTTTTTACTGACTTCCTAATTTTCAATTATTATAGATGAATTAACTATGTCATTAATTATATACAATAAGTATCAGTTTAACTTACTTCTGTTAGTCTGTGGTTTTGTTGTTTTAGCCTAGATAACATATCTTGTTGAAGTTGTGTTGATGTTGGAGTACTAAGAAAAGCAAGATTCATGTGAAGAGGAAGTCCACCACGTTCCCAGCTACTTATTAATGCAGCTAGATGTCTATTGACTTCTAATACTCGAGCACGTTGTAATTCTAAACGTTCTTGCTGTGCTTCTGTCCACTGTTCCTAAAAAGATACACATGTTAATGATAAACATTTAAAGTAGTTAACAAACTAAAAGAAAAACACTTGATACCACATGAGATCCCATACGTCCAAGGTGCTTGATTTTTTCCTGAGTAGAGGAAACTTGTTTCAAGTACCATTCTCTAGCTTTATCAACTGCAGTTAAACCTTGAAGTAATACATCTTTTTCTTGTTCAATTTGTTTCATTCTTTTCATCTAAAAATAAAAATATTTTTAAATAGTTTCTATCACTAAGAATTAAGAAACAGGCTTCCCAACTATATAATCTACTTGAATGTCATTTAAGCATGTTACATGATAAGTTGAACAATATTTAGTATATTGTATTATTGTCTTCATGTTAATGATTACTAAATTTCATGCATACCCAAAACCAGTCACTAATCATTAGTTGGGAATCCTAGAGGAGAATATCTTTACCATATTGTAATCAATACCATTCTGCAACGTATGGCGCCTAGGTTCTCTGCGTCGATTTAATGTTTTTTTAGGCTGTAGACCAACTTGATTATTTTGCAAATCAACTGCTTTACCATCTCCCAATACTCTAGTTGGTCTTAATAATGTTCTAGTGTCAGATCTGTAGTTCACTGCTGGTAATTGTCTTTTTTCTATAGTTTTATCATCATTCATTAATAAACCCATCTGCCAATTTTGTAATACAGTTCTAATTTCAGATTTGTCAAAATTTCTATCTGAATTAATAGTTCTAGTTTCTAATGCAGCACCTGTTCTTGGAGGTTTTGGAGGTCCATATGCCTTATTTAGTTTTGAGTCAGGCCCACTTCTACCATCCATTAATTCTAATTGTGCATGATTAACATCTTTTTGACCTGCTAATAACTGTGGCATACTTAATGTACGGTGTTGAGATATTGCATTATTTGGTCTAATAGTTGCTGTATTTGGAGATGTCCATGTTATTTTATTTTGATTATCAGGTATAAGAATTGGAGCAGATGGAGGTCTATTCGGTTGACCATCATGTTTTTTAGAATCAGTCTCTGTTTGAATTTGTAATAAACATATCTTAAGTCCCGTACAAAATCTTTCGAAAGATAATAAACCATTAGGTGGTGTGACTTTTTTGAGGCTATCTAAAACACCTTTTGGAAGACCTTGTGTTCCATCATCTTGCCATCTGCCTTCAATATCAGAAAATTTGACAAAGCCTGTATTTTGATCATCCATTATATCAAAAAGTGTACGCATAGCGGTAACAAAATGCTTTGGCAGTCCATCAACGCCCGAAGTTTGTATTTGCGCCATGTTTATATACGAGCGTCTTTAAAATATGGTTATTAAAAAAAACATAATGATTTAAATACTCTGGACTCATACATTACGTTTCTGGTAGTGGAAGATATAACATTGTTTTTCTTACGTAACGTTTGTTTGATTAATCATTTTGTTAATTAACTACTGTTTCATTCATTTGACAGATGACCTTTTCTTTATTCAACATTTATTAATGCGTACTGTCAAATTATTAGCAGAATTATTTGTATTAGATATAAATACACTTAATGCTCTTTGGATACATTTTACTTTTCGTATTTTAATATCACAACTGATATCTCCTTTTTAATAACCTCCTTAAACCATCAATTGTATGCAACTAAATTTGAACACAGATGAAACAGGTGTGTCGAAAGAGTATGAATAATCTAGAATGCACTACAGTTATTCTGCTCATAGAAACAGTTCTTAAAGTATGATTTTTTAATTCATAAACATACAGGGTATATAAATATAAATAACGTATAAAATTAATACATGTTAAATAATAATGATGTTTAAGTCATTGACGACCATAAAAAATAATAAAAAATTAGATATACATTTTTTAATTTTACATACCGATAGCTGATACACATTTATCACCATAGACCTCGTCTGTGTTATCACAAATAAACTAAAAAGCGAGTTTATAAATTCGACTATGCTACATGTTCTATAAATAAAACACTATTGAAACGAAAATAAAAAATGGTTACATGTAAAAGGTGGAAATGTTAATTCATTAAAACGTTTAATTATTACACTTTGCATAATTCCTTATCTATTTTTTGTCTACATATTGCAGCCTTAATAATTATCTAGTTCAAACAATTTTCCACAAGCATAAAGAATTTCACTCCTGTATATTGCATATACTATTGCTACATAATTTTAAGCTATAATATATCATATGGTATACACTAGATTCAATAGAACACTAATTTATAGATTTAATAATTCTATCCGTAAAGTATGTTTAAAGAAATAACATTTCAGGATTAACAACAATTTACAACACACATAAAATTTGAAATTCTATAGAAAAAGTTTTACTTAATCTTGTGCGCTGACTATATTACCATCGGAAGAAAATTCTTTATTTTGATCTTGTATTGGTTTCTGGGGTGCTTCGACATTAGGACTTTTATCGATATCGCTATCAGAAGACGATGTATCTTGAGGTAGTTCGATACCTTGTGTTAAAAGACTGGTTATCCTTTCAACGTCCACTGTATCGTCCTGCTCATGAATCTTCTTGAGGGCGTTCGAAACTATACAAAGGTCGCCTCTAAGTTCACTGACCACCGCTGTAATCTTTTGAGCATCCGTAAGAACGTCCACCGATTGCGTATAAGGATTATAGCGCAAGCCAAATGGACGTTGTATTTGATTAGCAAATGCCCTAAAAATTGTGATTGTTCATTATAATACTGTCTATCATATAAAATTAGTTTTTCACAAATTTATAGTACAATCTTTGAATTAAATAGTAACATATATGTATATACCGCATTTTTTCTTTAGCTTCTTCAAAGCTGTCAGTGTAGTAGTAAGCGTTCTGAAACGCAGTAATGATGCATTCTTGCTTGCAAGTTATGTCCGGTTCGAAACGAAAGGTTTTCTCGGGAATGGAAACTGCGTGTTTCAGTTCTGCGACAGAGGACAGTAAACCAGCTCCATAAACACGGAGCACACCGTCTTGCTTGCATAATCCAAATTCCACGGTAAAGAAGTAGAGCTGGAAAAAAAGTGAAATAGAAGAGAAGAAAACCTAATATAGAATGGTATGTTCCCTTTTAGCGCTTTCAAATAAATTTTTGTAAACTTTTGATGAGGCTAAGGAATTGCCTCGAGCACGGTACACTTACAGTTGCCAATTTATTGATGTCTTCGTCCGAAGCTCCGAGGGAGGCGAGTCCTAGTTCCTGCGAGAATTGAGCGAAACTTGGATTCGCTAGAAGTGGCATGTGTCCCAACAATTCATGACAGCAGTCTCTGTAAATGTTTAAAGAAATGTAGATAAAGGAAGAAATGAAAAGAATTTAAAAAAAACAAAAGAGAAACAACGAAGAAGCACGACGTCTCACTATGCATGTATGTACTTTTATCGTTTTTGTACACCTTTTCTGTCGTTCGATATCATTTTTATGTTTACAAAATTACTTACGGCTCAGGTGTGTAAAACGGATCCGACGAATGTCGAATGTATTGCGTACAATGAAATACTCGAAAAGCAAGGCCGGCTAAAAAGTCTCTAGGTGAAAGGTACCCAGCCACAGGTCGAAGTTGAAATCCAGTTGTTCCTAATAGCCATCATAAACGAAGTATATCTCTGTCTTTTTTGTTTGTTTTTTTTTTTGTTCTTTAATAATTTACAATTCAATTAAACGAATACATACGTTTCAAGAATACGTTCACGTCTTGTAATTGAGGAATGTTATCTTCTCTATTGATAAAATAAGGAACTTTTATATCAATTGTATTTAATACGAATTTAATCTAATTCAAGCAACAATTGTTACCTATATCCACAGTATTTCTCTAATTTTGGCCAATTCTCTAAATACTCCTTGCAAGCGTGTTTCTGGTAAAGTTGATGCAATTCGCGGAAAACTGTTCCCCTGTATTACGAGAATTTTCTATTATCAAAATTGTTGAAATATTGTTAACGCTGGTAATTGGTATTAAAACTTCCTTATTTGTAACATCACTTCATAGATTTCCGCTAGACTAGTTTATTTATCCGCAATTCTCTCCTACACAATCTGGCAGAGATTGAATTGAAGATGTCACTCGAAGATCGTGAGGATAAATCAAATAAGGACAATTAAGGGGTGCATTCAACGCGAGCCAACCTTGGCTTGTTCACACGTCGCGAAGACGGTGGATCGAGGAGAAACTTTTCGTTTTGTATTGGCAGAACTCGGAAGCTGTTTCGTAATCGAAGGAAAATCACGCGAAGATATCGAAAGAATAGTCTCCCCTTTGTTATAGATTACCTTCGTGTTCGTCGAAGCACGTACGACGATTTCACGTAATGAGCAGAAGTTTTTAACGATAACAATTTCATCTATTTTTATCGAAATCTGTTGTAAAAATATTTGTTTAAGATTGAAAAAAGAAGAAGGGGTACAAACCATGTTCGGATCTCCTCTGACGTGTATTGTACACGAGGAATTGGTTGACCACTGAAAATCGATTAGTTAATGTGAAACAATGTTTCGATCTCGTAATTAAGTATATTTTGTTATAGTAGTTTATTTATTTTTAACGTACTATTTATAACTGTTCGCGATATCGGCGAATTGTACACGACGTTTACGATACACCGGATCTTTGAAGCCCTGAAAGTGTCCAATTCAATTTATTACCAACAATTGTATTTCTATTTATTGTATATCCGATAAGAGGAACGAATTGATAGGTAAAAGAAAAAACGTACAGGATGATCTGCGTCTAATTCAGATCCGTACATTAGCACTTTTTGAGCCTGATCTAGATCCGATATTTTTCGTGGGAACCAGGGCATGTCTACTTCACTGAAATCTGCAAAGTTTGAATGTGAAGGGGTGTTCGTTGGCCCGTTGCAATTTTTCATTTCAAAAACTTCACTTCGCTGTGAAATTCGTTGTGAACATTGTTTTCTACCAAAATTTCTCTTATAAAATTACCGCTTACAATTGTCTACGTTTTGAAATTTATACGAAGAAGTTAAAGATGTCTAAATAATATCTAGAATGGTGTCTCGATAAAAAGAGAAAGTTTATTAAAAATGATGAAAAAAGAAACTTACCGAAACTTGGAGCGGCAGAAAGCGATGGAGCGTGAGGAATACTGCCCATTTCTTCGTACTGCGCTAAATTAATAGCAGCAACTTCGCGACTTAACATTTTCGTTAATTGCTCCATTCTTTTTGAATCGCATTCGACGTCAACGAGGATTTCGAATTCCGAACCGCGTCGCATCGATTTCCGTGATTCGATATGAATGACATTCACACCCAGATCCTTAATGAAACATTCATGCAAATGTGTATTTGTACATTTTCTTCGAGAGTTTTCTGCGTATCGTAATTTTCACAATATCGAAAAATACGATTATAAAACGTGTTAAGTGTTCGTGAAGTTTGAAACCGAATGACTATTACGAGATGATTAAACTTTCACCTTTTAGTAAATATACGAGTTTGTGAATCATTTTTATAGAAAATAACGATGTGTAAAAGTGTATTAAGATTTGTGTGCAATAATAAACGGACGAAAGTATGTTCTTTCACTTAATTGTCGTAGAGTTAATTATTTACGCTAGATGTTGTTTAATGTCGTTAAACATCGTACCTGGAATACTTGCAACGCTCGTGCCAAACCACCGACTTGATTTTTCAACGAAAAGACGACAGAATTTTTGTTGTCGCCGTTCTGCTTTCGCTCGACCATGGGGATCTGAACGAATGAAAGAACATATCCAGGCGTTTCGCTCAACTTTTGCGTATCATTTGATTAAATTCCCTTACTTTGCCTATTTGACTATTTTTACACTACTTTTTACACTAATAAGTCGAAGAATTCTTGTGAAAAAAACTATGTGAGAAGAGAATGTAAAAGAAAGGGGATCAAAGGGGAGCAAATTCGCTGAGCTTGCGAAACCTGATCGAAATGATTAAAAAGATTTACCAAATACTTGTTTAAAAAAAACTACTTTTTCTTTAATACTTCGATGAAAAAACTAGAAAATTGAGGGTTGAAAGAAATATTCTACACTTTGCACAAAATTCAAACCAACGCACATCTCTCGATTTGTGTAGAGGACTTCCTTCTTTGATAGCCCAGTGTTCTCCTCTTCTGTACAACCACACCCCAAGAAGACCTTTTCCAGAGCCACTCATGATGATTTTTCCTCCAGAAAGAATACTACAATTTTCCTACCGAAATTTCTTATTCCTACTTCGACTGTACTTTCTCAACCGTACGATGCAAGAAGTGTTACAGAAATCTAGGTATCTCAGTAACGATAACACCAGAGTACACCGGCAAAACTGGCGATCGTTTCAAGTTGAACAAGATTCACCCTTTCAAGGACCACGAGCAACAGTGTCGCGGTACCAGTGTCTTCTGCTCTTTTTAAGACCTCGGTCCCCTCCGCGTACTAAACCTTCTCAATGACGAACTGTTCCCGATTGGTCGACGCACAGTAGTACGAAGTTTCCCCATTGGTCGGATAAGACTTTTCATGGGGTTGAAGAGGAGTGTTGGCTCACCCCATTTAACCGTAACTGTGTCGGTTGCAGAATGTATTCCGCCGTGACGTCACTGGAGCCCATGAGATGTGGGTGGTGCAAGAAGTGGCGACGATGAACGGGAGAAGAGGTCTTCTGAACGGGGCTATTTTTTTCGGTAGCTCTGTTCGTATCCACCCTCGAAGATGTTTCCTCCTTTCGATTCGCATACACTCGGCTAGGCGTTGCTTCTTCTTCCTCCTGTTTCTAGGCCAAGTGAAATTAGCCGGCCACAGAAAAGGCACGAATTCGATCACCGATGATTTCTCATGCCCCTTTCGCACTCGTCTGCGGTAACACGTCGCGATACTCGTTCCGATTTTTACTTCATTCTCCTCGCTGACAATTGTAATACATCTTTTTATCATTATACAGATTGTTACGGAATTTTTTAATATTTGTACAATACGCAATATCGTGATTCACGTAACGATCGTATTTTTAGACGAAGGAATTACTTTCGAAAGGTACAGTTCGCTTCGGGGAATTGAATTTTTTCTTTTTTTTTTACTTTATTTTAATAAGACGATCCTATCCTGCCTTTTGTATTTCTTTCGCAGTAGAACAAAGGGGGTGTTTAATAAAAGCTCTCGAACGCTTGGGAACGCTCGTTCGCCCGGTGGCAAAGTAGATGCAGCACATTACCAATGTCCATCACTTACCACTATCAGCTACCACCCTTGCTAAATTATACCGAGAGTTTCTCTGGCATTAAGAGAATTGAGAGTATCCTTCGATCTGCCGAGTGGATCTTCCGTTTATCGTTGCGTCTCTGCCAGTTGCTAAATCGGTTTTCACGCCGAAAACACATCCCGGAATACTGCTCGAGGAAACGCTGATAAACGGGGAGATTCAATTATTCGATAAGGCATATCGTATTGTGCTACAAAGTTTTGGTCAATCGTATTGATTTTTCGTTTCTTCTATAGTGCTCGATTTTTCGTATATCGAAACTGAGCAACTATTGTTCGTGTACAATAACGTTTATCAAGATGAATTTTACTCGGGTATCGCTGTACTTTGTCTTTCATATCACCCGCATTGCGAAATTTACTCTTTGTTCACAGAGATATCTCCTTCCTTGCTGTGATCCTTCGAGCTTCAAATTCAATATTCGTAATTTGCTTCTATTGTGTCGCGAATATCTTCGAGGTCAAGAAACACGAATTTGATCTTTGTATCTAATAAACGATTCGATCAGACAAAACGACGTGTCTTATTCCTTCCCTTTTTCGGAGCTAAAGATTACCGAATCGTTGAATTACCAAAATTGCCAAATTTACAATCCAAGAAAATTACTACAATATCGTGTAATGAAGTACGAATTTTTCTTAGAGGAACGTCTACAATTTTTCAGAATTTCTTTGACATTCTCTTAAACAGTACTTCCTGTTATTTTGTGCCCTCGGTCGAGTCGAGCCTCTACTTTCTTTAAGATTCCTCAACCACAGTCTCGATACAAATCGGCCACTTCAAACCATTCGATCGATTAGAAGAAAATAGTCGGTGGACTAAGTAAGACGATGGGTATTCGCTGTTTGCAGACAGGAAGATCCTCTCGGAGCGCTTTCCAGGCACGAATGAACCGACTGAAACAAAGAAGCTGGCTATGGCAAGGGACGAATGAAAACGGAGAATCGAGAAGAGAAAAAAAAAGGAATAGGAGTATTTTATGCACAACGAGTGGATTGAAAACGACGCTGTTACAGACGATGATTGATATAGGGAGATCTGTGGTCCAATTTAATTTTGGCATGGATCCAATGCAAATCGTTTAGCTGTTCACGTATGTATGTACGCATTTTAGCTAGAAAACCGCTAACGCTGATGATGGACGAAATCTAAACAGTAGCCTAATTCATGAATCTACAAAGAAGACGCGCAAGGTCACGAGGTGGACTGCGTGCAAAACTGTGTCTCCCTACCCTAAACTTTTCGTGCTGGCAACTTCTTTAACTCGATTAACCGGCGCTAATTACTCTCGCTGGGTTGTCCGTAACTACTTTTCGCCTTCGACGACCCCATCTCGTTAACCATACTCTTTTGCATATTAAAATCTATCTTCCATGCAGTATGCATGATACGACATTCGAGTATAGTCCTATATCATGCAGGGTGCTTAAATAAAAAGTGTTAAGACTTATATGGACAATTTGTACATCCAAAATAAAAAAGCAAATCAAATTTAAATAACTTTTGCAGGAGGTGCATCGTTTGGTCTAATCAAATATGCATATAAGCAAATTACGAATATTGAATTTGTATTTGTAGAATAACGACGAATATGTGTAGCCTCTTTGAAAACAAAATGCATCTGTTATTACTATATATCGTTTTATCAATTCCATTCCTCTAAAAAACTAACTTTCCCATAAGTGTTAAAATTTCTACGAAACACCCTGTATTCCCACGAACATTTCCTTCGCGAGTATACGAGGCCTATACGAGCCTACCTACCCATATATCCATCAAGCAAGCGGTGCATTAAGAATGAATGCTCTCGATTTCTGGAGTTGCTTTTGGGTCGCGGCAAAGGTTAACTCGCCAAAGCGACAACAGATTCTCTCCCTTGTTTAAAGGGTTTCTCGTTAACGAACTAAACCGATCTGTTTGCTTTTCCGCGTCGAGAATAAAAGGGGTTCAGCCTTGCTGTGAAAGGGTGCAACTGAAACGGGACTATACTGTCGGTACAAACAACCCGATATCTCGATAATATTTCTATCGTATAGATATCGTTGATATAGCGAAGTGGTTGTCGGGTCGGCGATCGGGTCGCGATTCAAATATTAAATCGAACAAGTGCGGCTCACCGAGGCGTTTTTCGGCCTCGAAGAGGCCGGCTGGCTTCTACCGTTCGATTTCCTCGCGGCGAGCACGGAAAATCGAGTCGAGTGCACGCGGGGGTGTGCGCGGCGTTCACCACGCAGGAATCAATAGGGCTTGGCGAGCGACGGTGCTCGCGCGACGTCGTCCCCAACGTCAGCGACATCTTGGCCTGTACGCTTTTCTGGGGGTCGACGAGCAGCTCTTCTTCAGGCCATCACGGCCGCCTTCACCGACAGCGAGTTCGAGGAGTTCCGACATTATTTCGAGAGGCTTCCCCAGCATCTCAAGGCGCCCCTTTCCAATTACACGTGAGTACACCATAGATTCTGCACCTTCGATAGGGAACGTTTCGACCGAGCCTGTGCAACGTGTACATTATGAACGTCTGTACAGACTGGGTATAATCGCTGGGAAACACTGTACTCACATGCAATTAAAGTAACGCCTCGAAACGGTTGTAAACTGATTTCATCAGTCGGCACGATGTCAAACAAAATGTATCTGTCGATTGTTACCCTCTTCGAGTGGAAAAGATTAACGACAGTCTGTCTCCACTGTCGTGCAGTGCTTTCAGCGAGTGTGTATTCCAGGCTGTACGGGGTTTTACGACGTTTGCAGGCGATCTCTGTAACAGCAGGCGAACGATAGCATGAAATGAGCATAGTTGGCATATTAACGGCATACACTATGCTTCAATTTCTCTCTTTCTATTGTATTGTCAGGGATGGTAGAGTCTTTCGAAGGAGATAGTTCTGTCTTTCGATAGGATGATCGAATTGGAACGATGTTTGACGTATGAGGTTCCTTGAATGGGGAGGTCGCATTACCGAAACCATGACAGGGCTTCTGACACTATGGTGGGTGACCGTATTGTTTCGGGTTGGATGGTTAGAAGCACTGAGAATTGTAGGGAAGTTGTTGTAGAATGAATTTCGCAACGGCATTCGGTGTGAATGAACGTGTACGATATATTGTATGTGAATCGTCACGGCTGATGCATCGTGAACTTGCTTCTATGCAGCTGTCTAGAATGAAAGAAAAAAACCAATATTTTTTTATTCTATTTCAATCTTTTAATTATACGATTTTTTGTTATTGTAGATATATATACATTTATATGTATATATGTATAGTTCTTATAAATTAAATTAGCTTGACATGATTACGTACGATTGACTGCAAGATTACGATTCATTGCGAAAGAATGTCTCTCGCGTTTTTATCGCTTAATTTTGCAACTGCAGAGGAATACGACGCGTGTCGATTAAGTTGTATCAGAATTTTATTGCCCAGCGTCGTTTTAACCTGACGAATCACACTTTTGGGAGGAGATTAAAGGGGCAAGGCATAGGTGCATCGAAAAGATACACCGTCGAGGCGCGGTCGATGTTGTTCCCTGTGTGCGTGGAATAAATTCGTTGCAGAAGGATGCGGCCTATATAAAACACTTTCCAAATATTATCGTTTGCCACACTACAGATATTGATTAATACATAGCAAAGTTCAATATTCTGTTTGAGTTGCACTATCGGTCACATTAAATACTATTTTTATCATTTTATATTTTCTTTTTGATAGAACAGTTTACCTAAGATCTCTTTTCGTTTATCTCTGTACCTTTGTAACGGTGCAAGTTACATTTTGTACTTCTTGAATATTGTTAATTGCTAGGTTAATTATAAACTCGTGAATATTTAATGAATTTTAAATCAAGTATCGTCACTTTTCCTATTAAATTCGACGATATTTTTACGAGCAATTGCTCGTAACGTATGCAAGTGAATTTAATTTATTTACGCTGGCGATACTCGATGAAACGTTAAAAAGGAACAAAATAAAATCGATAGGAGTCCGTCTCTAACGCGAAATTCAATTCCACTTTAGCTGTCAGTCTTGATTACTCAGCTTTTAAACAAAACAAGCACGCGCTATTAATGGATCTTACTCGCGTCTCAGTTTTTATCGTTAATTATCTAATCTTTCGCCCCCATTTCTTTGCAGCGACGAATTGCTTAGAAGTTTCCCGATGATGCTCGTAAAGAGAAACAAACTTAAAACGATGAAACGTCTTTGTTTCCACGATATTATGAAATAATTAAGATTAGAAACTATTCTTATGTTTTTCAACAAAGTAAAATGTAACTTTTTTTAAAATAATTTTCGACTACTACGAACACTAACACACGTTTACTAATCCAACGAACGAGATAACTGTTGTTTTACCTGTTACAACATATATAAGTTGCTTCATATTCGAGTGTTTCTTAGTCGTGACGAAGTGTTCTCGAAGAGTTCCAACGCGTCAACTCGGATCCACTTGTCATTTAAATGGATAATACTTTAACAGAAGACGTAGGAACGCGCGGCACGTCGGATTCGTTTCGAAATTTCAATTCATACTGACATATATACATTCAATGCACCATATGAAACCATATTGTCACTTCCTAGAAACGAAAGGGTACCTTCTATCATCACAGAAGAAGAACGCAATTCTTATATTATAAAACGTCTAATTATAGTAAAAAAGATCGGTGAAAAGGATTAACGTTCATTTGTATAATATAGAATTCATATAGTCGATCCTCTCGTAGATCCAAAAAGAAAGTTCCAATTACGTGCACTGCTATTATTACGTTTCTCTAAAATTGTCCTCGTTATTCTTTACATATTTCCACATTACGAATTCTATCATGAGACGATACTTGATTCTAGCAAAGGTTACGAATATAATGCGAAATCACCTGCCGATTTTTAATGAGAACATTTACAGGTAACACTCGATCATTGTTCTCGAGGAATTTTTGTTATCAAGTATTAATTTTTTTCAATCCTTATTGGAAATAGGCTGGTTCACGATGTGATGATAGACGATTCGCCGACCTCGTCGCAGGGTAGCGACGTGGAAGTCGAGAGATCTTGCGACAGAGTAGCTGAAGACTCGAACGATGAGGAAGTGGTGGTTATCCATCGGCGCGACAACCAGAGTGGGCACTCTTCTGGTGACGATAGCGATGATCTCGATCACAACTCCATCGTAGCCGATAGCGACTTTAGGTTGGTAACATCGTAAGTGTTATACACTCTTACTACAATCTGTGAATATAGATTCCATTAGATCTACATTTCTGATCTGAGACTAAAGGAATTGATATTACGTTTTGTTTGGAATTGCGCAACTTTTTCTTTCACCCAGATTTTCCGAGATAATGATATCGATCAGTTTGAATTTTCATTGAAATAATTAGAGGATTTTCTGCTCGAAAGAATGCGTGGAATTTTATAATTATTCGAACGAGAGTAGGCGAGCCCCTAATTATTTTTTGACAGAATATACAACTTGATTATGTGCCTCGGTTAATTAATTATATATCATTGAAATCGATCGAGGAATAGCTGGCCTGTTGAAATCTAAATTTAGCCCTGCATCCGCTGTGGAACTGTTTTTTTTTTTCAGTGCAATTTCTTCTGACCTCTCTCTGCATGCAAGGAGAAAGTTTCCCAATACGCAAATATCCGTTTCCCCTGTTGATTTAAACATTCTCCTATGTAAAAGGTTATAATTATATTTTTAAACGCTCCCTATATTTCCTCTTTAGAAGAAGAAAATAAACAATCTATCGATATTCTTTCAATTTTAGAAGTGCACTATGTGGTAAAAAAATTGCAGGTTTGCATGTTGATCCACTTGCAACTAAGATTGTAGCCCCTTACAGTATGTCCCGGTACCATGCGTGTGTCCTCCTGCATCAGCAGAAGAACTGAATTCCTCTCTCTTAACAACCATTGAGAACAGATTACATAATTATTCAACGATAGACCAGGTACGATCTGAAAACACTGGAATTATATTACAAAATGATAAAAAACATCTGATCAAACAAAAATGATTCAAGTGTGTAAAGATATGATCAATTGTAGTATGTCTGTATAAAGGATCAAACAGGAGGAGAAACTGTAATCTGTTCTCAATTAATGCGATGATAATTTCTTAGTTGCACTTGCGGGAATTCCTATGAGCAAAAGAAAAAAATTACCAAAAAACATCCACTCCAAATGGCATGGTGAAAGGTAGCTTAGCTCACTACACGACTACCCTTGGGTGACATTAGCTTGTTCGGTGGACTGAGCAGCAGGGGTCGATCAGCAGGCGTCGGTGGACCAGGTCCTGGTGGAGGTAGCACTACCAGATCCGGCAACGGTGGTAGAGATAGCGTAGTCAGCGACATCGGGGATTCCTGTTCGAGTCTCAATTCCTGGCCAACACCGGAACATGTGCCGTCGAATCGTCCAGGAAGTGGTAGCACCGAACGCAGACGTCGGAGACTACCGGAAATCCCCAAGGCGAAGAAATGTAAGACAATGAACTTGTAAATATTGATGTATTCCCTTAGACTTCATACCATCTGCTAACCTTGAATCCTTCAGTTGAATCAATTTATTTATAGGATTGTAGTAGCGATGAATTAGTTCGTCAGATATTAGCTTCCTTCTTTCTTTTATTATTTTGCTTCTTCGTGATACAAAGGGGTAGGTGATGACAGGATGTAAAAAAACAAAAAAACAAAAAACGATCGAATACCTTTCACTGTGAAAATTTGTATGAAAAGAAGTGTGTTATTATTATAGTGGTTACAATGTGACCTTAACATGTAATACGATATATATGTATCGCGAAATCAGTCATATCTTACGTGTTTCTCATCACCTGCCACGATTCACCGATCCTGACGATATCACGCATCCAACCGCAGAATCGACGACCGCAGTGAAAGAAAATCCATAATGACATCTACTTACGTCACACCACTTGTTCGAGGTCCGCACATCTGACCGAGACTTATTTACCTGTGGCTGTTACAATGGTTACAATCGCTTATCTTCATACCAATACTTATTCAACCACTACTACGTTTAATTCTATTCGACGGTTGTTTGTACATTGAGAAAATTGTAACATGGTAAATTTTCACAATTTCGGGTACCTCATCATTGAAAAAGGTAGTCGTTGTTCCGTTTATCTGTCCAAGTAAAATAAATCTTATCTATGTTTAGTCTGTTTTATGGAATAATCTTGTTTCTTACAGCTTTGCCCATCAGTCAGATACCCATGCAGTCGTCGTTGTCTCTGGCAGATGAATTGAACGCAGCAACGGGTTCCAGTTCAAGTCGGCCCCATTTAGTCCTACGAAAATGTCACTCGAGGCTCCGCCATGAGGATAGTTCACCTGACAGCGAGAGAATGGCCACTGACAGTGGCCATTCCACTGCTCACTCGCCGGAAAATGGCCCGAAAAGCGTGTCGCCGATACCCTGCAATACTTTGCAGAACACGGACTCTGTTTCACCGAGCAGTTCACCAGGTGACTGCGTTTTATATTTTTCGAACGAATAACTAATGTATGATTATACGTTATTTCTTTTTCATTTTGGTTCGAATAATATCTGTTTCTATGGTGGTTCAAAAGGAAGCGGCAGTGTCCCGTTTACTCAGCTGGAGTTGCTCGAAGCGACGCATCGAGCTTTGCACAAATTTATGCCTAGACACCACGATGAGATCGATCTCGAGATCGGTGATCCTGTTTATGTTCAGAAGGAGGCGGATGATCTATGGTGTGAAGGTTCGTGTTTTATCTTCTTTTTCATTCGCTTGTTTCTTATTGCAAAGGATTGTTCAGAACTCAGAAGTAGAATAGACCACTGATTTTCAACTGGTGTGCCTGCAAGTTAAAAAAAGAGATGTAATGTTTATTTGATGATTAATCCATTTGCGTTTTGGATTGAAGGCGTGAACTTGAGAACAGGTCGTCAAGGTATCTTCCCCTCGGCTTACGCGGTCGACATGGATTATAGTGACTTCGATCCATCGGCGCCGAAAGTGAAGAGAGAACGATATCTTCTTGGATATTTAGGATCTGTGGAAACGTTGGTGCACAAAGGTACTGGTGTAGTTTGTCAAGCTGTTCGAAGAATCGTCGGAAACTCGCAAGAATCACCTGTTTCGCAAAGCTGTATCTTGGAGGTGTCCGATCAGGGTCTTCGAATGGTCGATAGGAGTAAACCACGGGTATATTGGAAATCAATTTGAAAATTTCCCCACTCAGTGTACCTGTATATTTGTTTCTGTTTCAATTGATAGGAATGTGGTGTGTTCACAGAAAAATCAGGGACCCTGTCACGATTATTTCTACTCGCTTAAGAACGTCTCGTTTTGTGCGTTTCATCCTCGTGATCATCGCTACCTCGGCTTCATCACGAAGCATCCTACCTTGCAAAGGTTCGCTTGCCACGTGTTCATTGGTCAAGAATCTACGAGGCCTGTTGCCGAAGCTGTCGGGTAAGTACATCGTTTTGTTTTCTCCATAAATATCGTTCGTCTTCATGAATAAATTTTTTTCTCCTAGTATTTAAATCAAACGTGATACATAATTCAAATTTCATTTCTTCACTGCCAGTCAAGAGTTCGTGTAATTTTAAATGCACACGTTAATTGAAAATTTTATTTTAATATGAATTTTAATTGAAATGAAATTTTACAGTACCAATGTTCGTTTCGCAAGTTTTTTCTTCTTTTTTTTTTCCTATCCTGAATATATTATTCAATTGAATTGTAAGTGTGTGACGTTCTTTTTCCCCAGGCGTGCTTTCCATCGGTTCTACACGAAGTTCATCGAGACTGCTTTCCCGATAGAGGATATCTATATCGAATAGATTACGCTGCTGGCCTGTCGTATAGCGGCTATGGAGGAAAAGATAAATTTCACATTCCTTTGTCCCTTGTACATACTGCCCTTAGCTGTAGATATATAAAGAAACAAAAAATGATAAACGCGAATCAAACACCCAATTTGTATACATATACATATACGTAAACATCTGTAACGTGTATTTATATATATGTATATCTATATTTACCGAGTAACTTCGGGAAGCGTCACGACGGGACCGATTATTCAGCGCCATTTGTTATTTGCAATCGTTTCACGTTAATTTATTAATTCAGTCGCAACATCTCGATCGATCATCATTGTCATCCGTATGTAACTTCGACTAATTCCCTCTCCATTTTAAGCACGATCGATCTATCATCATTCCTGCGAACAACATCGTTACATTCCATCGTGATGATTTTGCCTTGTTTTCTTTTCTTTCTTTCTCTTTGTATTTTTCGTTACGATGAGACACGGCGACTTGAACTTCGGGTGAAAAGTCTTTAATATTTGAATAACGTACACTAATTACTACCAGATAAGAATTAATCGTTAACCTTTCGATCCTTCGACCAAGATATCCGTATAGCGATACGTAGAACGAGACAAAAGCGACAATAGTGTGGATCGTTCCGACGTTTTAACCGAAGAACCGAACAAATTTCTATTGTTAACAATTCTTCATTTTCTATATATCTATCGTTGAACCGTCAAACGTTACGAATTTGCTTTCGCTCCGAATTACGTTTCTAACATCGTGGCAACGAAAGGATATCGTTTTTCACAAGAAACGATCTCGAAACGCGCCAAGAGATATTTTATTATTCGTCGTATCGTAATTTTAGAGACTCGTCTATTTTTCTATCTTTCTTTCCGAGGGAATCGTTAATTATAGATTGCGTTGCAAACGATAAGGCTTAACATTTTACGATCACTTCGATTCCGCGACCTTCTGATTCGAATCGCAAAATACGACAATTGATCGAAAGCGCACATTGGCCTCTCTATATTATCTCGATTGTATCATTGTCGATTCTTACCGCGTTGCAGCGTTCCGCGAACAACTTCATTGTAGTAACGAATCAAATCGCACGCACCGAACGACGGAAAAGTCGATCTACATATAACATACATATTAAAAATAAGGAAATTAGTCGGGATTATTAATTTGTACCATTTTTATTGTAACGTTCGATCGTGAGTCTCATGATAAGTCTCGTACGTAAAGTTTTTTAAACGGTTCATCGATGCATCGTTGTTTTTTTTCCTTTCGAACAAAGATATTACTTTTTGTTTGATTTTTCGAATTTGTCTTTATTACAAATTCAAAATTGATCAATTTTGTTATAGGTATCGTTTGTATGAAATTATACGTGCTTGGGATTTGATCCACGTTGTACACGTATTGAAAAATTGCTCGGTTATACCAGTATGTGGAATAAAAATTGAGAGACAAACTGCAGTGCTTACTGATTGCTGAAGAGATTCTATCTGCATCATGGTCTATCAATTATACATGCCTTTGATTGAGATCGCCTCGAGTATCGTGCCTTTCCGATTATTTTCTCATACAGGTACAAATTAATATCATCCGCGTGTATAAGTTATTATTGCGATAACGATCTTCTTTCTCTCTCTCTCTCTCTCTATCTCTATCTTGAATTTTTCATAAACTACATCATCGAGTAGAATAAAAAGTGCGTGATGCAAAAACAAAACAAAAAATATGAACATTTTGACTACATTTATGTCTGTTAACCTCTTAAACATGAATTAGAACGTCGATTTTGTGAATTGCGACAGAAAACACGTTGATCGCTTGGAAAAAGTGATACTTCTTTTTATTATCGTTCTCTTTCTCTCCTGACTTTCGATATTTTGTCCTCGAGACATTCAATTGGGGATTCGATTCGAACCTTCCGCTCGACCGATGTATAAATTAAGGATATAGTTGCAATTTTGGTAGCGACACTGCAAGAATAAATCCTTGTTATCGATCGTGAATTATTTTTTCTTTTTTTTTTATCTCGTAGTAGATAAATGGGCGAAACGCCTTGTTTATCGAGTTGTATGCTTCGAAAAAGAACTCTATACGCTTTTTTCGTTCGCAAAGCATATCTCGAAGCGTTGGTTAGCTGTTCTTTCTTTCGAATATTCAATCCAAAATGAATCCTATATGCTTAGCAGAACGATTTACTTGTTTCGTAGATGAACGCTCAAAAAAAAAAAAAAAAAAAAAAAAAAAAAAAAAAGAAGCACGAGGAAAAAAGGAAACGAATGTTTGAGAACCAGAAGAATTTCTTTGGGGACAAATGAAAACATGTTATCAAATAAAAATAAAACGATCACAGCTCAGAAGAACATTAAGAAATACTGTCAGTTGTATGATAGTGTTTAATGTGATAAGATCTGTAATACTGTCTTTGCAGGCCGGTTGGTCTTGCAGTTATTTTAAGAAACCTGTTGTGTAATAAATATAACACGTAATTTTAAATATTTTATTATCTTAATATACTTTTTTTATTGAAACAATTAAATATTGAACGCATAACGACTTTATGAAACAGACAGGACATAAGAGGAGTAAAATACATTTAAAATGAGGGTTGCAATCTTTGTAATTTTCGTATAATTTCTACATGTATTTCTTTCAGGCAGTATTATTTACAAAAATGTTCCACCTCCTACGAAGTCTTGATAATTCAGTCTTGACACAAGTTATACGTGTACATGATCCCAATCATTCTAATATTTCTGCATCGATAGTATTAAGAATTCATCGTTTTTCTTTTTTCTTTCTTTATTTATGTGCTTGTCTATTAATAGATTTCATCATCATTTGCTAATGTTCAATATACTTAGAAACAGAATTTAGAAAAGATTATTGTACAAACGCAATTCGTTTAGATACAATTTCGATTGGTTTTGTTTTTTGACATCAATTAAATAATAAAAAAAACCCCCCAAAAAAACCATTTTAATTTTATTTTTCGTTTCGTTTTTCTTTTTCACTAGAGCATGCAAAAAAGAGTCCGTCTTGTCTTTAGATTCCTTCGTTCCAACTTCTATGCTGCTCTGAGCAACGCGACTGTAAACATTTTTATAAATTTCTGCATGAATCTCCTCATTGTGCACAGTAATATCAATTCTTTCTCTCAGTTTGGAAGAACAGAGGAACGGAATTCAGTTATATTTTCTATCGTTCTTTGGCAATCTACGAAGAGCGATACACCTCCAATATTACTAGTTTCTTATAGTTCAATGTACACTTTGCCTCATGATAGCATTTTTGTTACTATCATTCATTGGTATCAACATCATTTGATTGAGCATAAACACACATATACATAAAAATTGGATATAAATTTAATATAAAAATATTTAAGGAATCTATGAGGATCTTCTTGTAAGTATTTACTGAAGATACGAAAATATACAATGGTTACAATAAAATATTTAATCTGTCTGTTATTCTATTGTGTATTCTCGTCCAATGTGCAAAATGTAGCAAGAGGTAATTCAGAGGTGTACTTCTCTTCAGAGAAGCTCATAAAATGCGAATCATATTCGCAGTGTCTTAACAGCTACGGTGAAATTTACACAGTGTCCGATAAGTTTCGAAAGCACTGAGGTTAAAAGTTAAAATAGCTGTACAAAGATGCTCGCTCGATCATTCTGTACACGCAATACGAATGCGAATATATGCGTCGTTTTTATTTTACTTCACTTCATTTCATTTGAAACGAGAAAAGAATTAGGAACCGATATTTCCAACCCTTGTGAAAATACATCTATGCAAGCTTGAAAATATATGTATATTGGACAATAGAAAACGACTCACATATTGCATAATGGAGATTTTAACTTGAATTGTTAGTTGTCGGTATCCCTAAAAGATAATGACCAATATATTACTATGCGGTTACCTTACGCAAAAGCGTAATACTGTCATCATAAAGTTTCAAGTGTTTTTTTTCCTTTTTTTTCTACTTAAGCGGAAAACGAGCACGTGGAAAACTGTTTCATATCATTGTTTCCATTTTCACAAACAATATTACGAAGAGACGACCGCTTCACTCAAAATTTTTCAACATTGCTTAATGCATAGAATGCAGACGCAAAATCAATATTATGATTCGACCGTGCAATAATTCAAAAGACGTTTTGCTTGCAAAGATAAATGTGTAGAAACGTATAAGAAGGGTGTACACAATTGTGTTGAATTGTGCTTGCGTATGTTATGTGCAAACAGCAGAGTATAAAATATAATAAAGGTAGTTATTTACAGTATTATAAGATTAAATGTTTAGCGAATTCTGTAGTGCCGTCTGTTTGTGTCACATTTCTGATCAGGCAGAGATTTTTATTTTCTGGTTGAAGGTGCAGCTTTCTAACTTGTTTTTCTCGTATCGAATGACTATTAAACATTTTTCACTGCCATCAACAAATGTTTAGATAGTTACAAATTGTGTACTATTATCTTAATATGAGGCTTCAAAAAACACATGAAAATTACTTATATGTATTATAATATTTTTAATTAACAGGATATCATAGATACCATATATCTTGATCAATTCGTAATTTGTTCAATAACGATTAATTGTAGAAATATCATTTCTACGCATACTTTTGAAACATATAAAACATGAGCACAATGGCTAAGCTCAAAATGGATCGCCGAGGATTACAAAACACATGAATAATTTGTTTGATAGATTAAAGGGACCGAGAGTGACACTAAACACAGACACTTTAAACTTGCTGTTTGTACTATAATGATCATGACGAATTGGAAAGTCTGCCATTCACTTAACTAAACGCCCCCATAGTATAACGCGAATTACACGTGGGATCATTTGTATCTTTCCTAACAGTATGATACTATGTAAAAAAGTTTGGATCTTTATCAACGTCGAGCGATCATGAGGCAAAGGTAGTCGAATCCTCTTAACCATAAAAATGAGCATACTTTATATCTCAAGCTTTTCTTAATATTGTACATTTATATATAATAACCCTTGTCTGAAGGAAAAAGAAAAACATACTGGAGTGACAATCTACCTCAATACGCTTGACATTAATGTCAATGACATAAAAACGAGTTAACGATCATTTTTTACAATGAACATGATGTATACATATATAAGAGGTATACGCAGATAATTCCCCCTTTTTTTATAATTTCATGATTCTTACTTGTACAAAGCATCGCTCAAAAGATAATTCTTGATCAAAATAAATATATAATTTATATTAGCGTTTGTTAAGTTATCAAGCTCATAAAATAATATGAATTATCTTCTTCAACTTGAATCCACATGAACATTGTTGCTTTGTAGAATATCATGCTTATAATGCCTCATCGTCGTGTTTCAGAATAAGTATTTACGTTAAGAGGGGCGGGGGGAACGGGGCTGCCATACATTAGAACATCATTTGTGAAGTACAACTCTAAAAGTTACAACTCTAAATTCTACTGATATCGTAACTCGCATCAGTATGCAGGAGCATGAAAAACTCTTTAGCGTATTTGAGGAATAGCACACGAGTTGCAAATAGATGTACAATATGAATGAATGATGAACAATTCACAAAAAGAAGAAAAAAAAAAAAGAAAAAAAAAAGAAAACAGTGATTTCCTTAATCGGTAATACCGATGGTTGAGACGTTCGGAATTCTTATTTACAGTTTATCAGCCTTATTTATACTTGTACATAGAAAAATGGAACTAAATGATATACATATAGATCTATTATTCATATGCGTTGAATGTCCACAATGGATGCGCAACTATAGTTTTTCCTGCGCATATAATTCCATTCTGTATATTTTAACATTTTTTACATTGAATCGCAGATTCATTTGCTTGATTATGCTTATTTATGGTTTTGTCAGTTGTAGCTTAAAAACGTAATCGACGTATGCGCGTTTACAATAATATCACACATCAGCCAATCACGGAAGTTTCATGCTACTTACGAATAGGTACTAAAGCTTAACTATAATAAAGTAATATAAAGCAACATAATATTGGGTGGATAACGAGGCCAGTAAAGTCCAAAACTCGCCATAACAAAACGATTGCAAACACGAAATATAACATTGATTTATGTATACAATAAAGCCGATCGTTCTCAATATTCCACCGTGGAAATTTAATAACTTTGTTTATCATTACATATCTCATAGAAGTAAAAAATTTGTAAAAATAACAAGTTAATCCGTAAAATGCATAAAAGTGCATATGTAGATACACAGAGAAATAATAAGCACCCCACACGTTTTGAAAGAAAAGTCGATAAGGCTCGAGACATTTACAGCCAATAATTCATTTTTATCATATTCACGTAACAATAATACAAGCTACGTACAATTACGTATCTACTATTCGTTTTATAGTATGTTCTTTCTTAGAAGCATATTTCTTTTGTTTAAAACAGGAATTTTGTACTGCCAACTTGCTTTTATTAGTACGAGTTAAATCGAATTTCGATAGTTAGTCATACCTTTTTTTTCTTTTTTTTTCTTGTCGTAATTGGCATCCTACAACAGGTAGGATTTAAACAGAACTGGTGCTGTATCCATCCGATATATGCGTACATATACGTATCGTGGTCTATTCGACATGGAAATGGTTTTCGTTCACGACCGAAAACAATTGTCGAGCACAACGGTCCTGAAGGTTAAATAAATAGCGTGGTCATTTAAAATCGAGTACACGCTATATACAAGTCTGCTATGATAAAATTTGAAAACTGCGCAACATTGGACCTTCAAAACTGTAGAACGTGCCCACCATTTACAATACAATTTACGTATGTGATTCGTGTAAGCAGTTACCGAAATATACGTATATCTATATTTACCCCAAACGTGAGGCGACATACAATGTCTATAATTCGGTTTTTATAAAGTCTGCATGTACACGATGTAAAGTATACATCTTGATTATCTTGCATGTTTTCTACTTACGCTTCTTCTTTCATCAATTTGAAGACAAAATATTGACGTTCCCTTAGTCGACGTTATATTTTCATTAGACAACTCTGATAATAAACATTTTTTCTTTGTTGAGGTGTAGAACGACGTAGATTGACATTGTTATACTGCTGTAGATTGTCGCTGTAACTAGCAGTCACTATGTTTTTTCCACTTTACCATTGTATCATTTGTGGAGGAATGAGTTTCAATAGACTTCACTGGAATATTTAACGTGCAACTATGCACGTCTATACCAACTGTATGCTTTTCAAGGACAGTCATTTTTTAACATTATGTTTTCGATAAAATAGTTTTTCTCCTTTCAAAGAAATATTTTTCAAATTTCACGTTTTACGTATTTCTGAAACTCTTTATACACCGATATTGTGTTTTATGTTCACTTGAATATTATGGTGATGTTGTTGCAGTGTTTCAAGGATTTGTTTCTGCATATTATGTTCTGCCTGAAATTCAAAGTAAAAAAATAGCATTTACGTTTTGAAATTTGAATTATAAGTTGCTTTTTAAATCATACCTGCAATGGTGTTAAACTTCCTCTTTTTGCTTGCAAGGCTGGATTTTTCAGGTCCTGTGCCAGAACGTTGAGCTGCGATTCTTGTAACGCCATACTATTCATGAGCTGAATATGTTTCCTTCTTATTTCATTATTGATTGCCTATCATAAAATTAATAACAATTATTTTTTGCTGCTATATTGTATTGTACATTATTAACAATCCAGACTTACATTGTTGTCGGTTAGTTGTTGTACTTTCGTTTCATTGAAGCTGCCTGAAATATTAAAACAATAATTTAAAATTAGACTTCATTAATATTTACGAAGCACATATGATACATATATGTATGTACTTACTTTCAAAATCATCAAGTATTTTCATTATAAGATCTGCAAAAATTTCAAATATTCATTAAAAGGTGTTTATGCAATTACATGTATATTTTCAATTTGTAAGTAAGCAACACATATTATCAATTATGCATAAAACAGTGGATGGAGAAAATAAAAATGAGAAACCTTGTGAAAATGACAGAACTTAGATTATGAAAGAGATAGGTTTAAGTATGCAAATGCAAGTGTTTCTTTTATTCAAGGAATTATCGAATTAATGTCTCGAAAGTTAAAAAAGTGCCCCCCACTTTTTGGAAGTATACAAAATTCGGCTGTTTACTTTGTTTTTTTTGGATGAGTGCAGGGTTACTATACTGTGTTTGGTACCTGGATTTGCATCCAGGCTTGGGCTCAGCAACGGGTCGTCCTTTAAATCGTGAAGATCGATAAACTGATCGTCATCAGGGGTTGGAGGTATAAGTGGCATGCTAGAGTCCACTTGTTGATAATCAACTATGACATCGTTTAAAGTCAAATTCGGTGATTCCGCGACCTTCAGCGACTGAGGATTCATACTGTTGTACTGATTGAAGTCCGTTGAAAGTTCTGAATATTCTTCGCCAACGAAAGATTTGCAGCCGACATACGGCATGTTCTGCTGTTCATCGTTATCGGTTGACACGTAACGAATGTTACTGTGTCTTTTTTTATTGCAACTTGTCCTAATGTCTTCATCACTGTATATCCTCTTCAACAAGTACTGATGGCTTTTCGAGTCGGAAGGAACAGTGTTATCGACCACGTTCTCAAGATAGTCCATTATAGGCTCTTGCTGACGTTTGTAAACATCCATGCTATGGTCGACTGTAATATTGCATGGACTGCTTTCGCTGAACGTGTGTGAACTTGATTCATTTGAAGCAGGTTCCTGGATTGTTAAAGTAGGACTCAAAATGTCCATATTTTGAGGAACATCAAGATGAGACGTCCTAAGGTCTCGCGGAGTGCTCATACATGGTTCTATAGTTGAATCGTTTGTCATCATACTGTTCACTTGCGGTGAAAACTGTTCACTTTGTGCGTCATCGTGTACACTGTGCGTCTGATTCGTTACATCGTGCAACGTTATTCCCTTCCCCGGTGACCTCGCATTTTCTTGCCTCTTGTTCAAATCAGAATCATGTTTATTGTTATTCTTTGACTCCTTCTGATTTCTATTTGCCTTGCCACCTTGTACCACCAAATAGTGGTCCAATTTTTTAATACCGAGTTTTCTCGCTTGAGCTTCAGCTGGAGGTAAGTGTTGTGAGACCATGGCGGCTTTCACGTATTGTTCGTTTGGTACAGGCGATGCTGTGAGACAATCCTCTGGAAGGGGTGACGACAGATCGCTAACTAAATACGTGATAGCATCCTCTAACTGCGAGGGATCTTCCACGCTACTCTTCGAAGTTGAACGTGGCGAATCTGAGCCCTGAAAGTGCAATGAAATGTTCATAGTAATCTTCTAACATCAATCCAGTATTCTCTTAGAATTTCACATCATTTCTCAGTATACAATTATAATATTTAAAGAGGATTACCAAATCAAGTGACGCGTCGTCATCTCCACTTTGAATCATCGCCCTCATGGCCTCTGTCACCGTAGCCGAAAATCTTTTCTTCATCTGCTCGATAAACTTTATACCGTCCTCCTCCCTATGAAATCATTCATTTCCAACATTCGATACGTTCCAGAAGACAATAGACGTACAACCAAATAAAGATATCGCAAAACTTACGATACTAGTGTGTTTATGCACACAAGAGATACTACTTTTTGCGTGTCCTTATCGACTTCCAGGTATCCATGAGTGCGTAAATAGATAGGTTCTCCAGTTTTCGAGGTTAGCCTATAGCAGGAGGATCCACAGGTCTCTGCACGATCGTACACTGCAAACGATCATTTCGATGATTAAAAAATTCTGTATTAACGCGTAAAATGGAAAAAAAGAAAAAGATATCCATGATTATAAAACTTACTTTGACGAAGTGCCATCATCGCCCAGCGACGGTCATCTCTGTGCATGAAACAGAAGGCGCTCTTACCCGAGACTTCCTCTGATAAGTAACCAGCCACCACCGATACTCTGTGATCGCAGTAAATGATCCTTCCGTCTACCAAGTGCCGTGTGATATACTCGTCCTTATTTGCGTCTATAATCGATATCTTGGTGATAGGCCGCCTCATGAGCAACCGTGCTATACCCACAAAAACGATGTCGTTGCTGGTTGAATTGATTTCTGCAAGATAACACCGGAACACGATTAATATGTCTTGTTCAAGTCCCAACTGGTTCTTATCTCGCCATATTTGTTTGACATGTCTCTCGGTTCTATTTGAGTCGTATGTAACATAGTCGTGTTAATGATATTCGATGTCACGTTATAAATCGTCTCAGAAGACCGTTCTCTATGTTCCAACTTTTGCATTGGCTGACAAGAAAGAAAGAAAAAGAAACAAGGCATTTCCCTTTCTCATAATGACGTTGCGGGTGTCGCGCGTCACGAGCTTGGCAATTTTCGCAACACTTACAAATATTCGTAATCTTTATTACACACCCAATATCATAATTTTCTGCAATCAAATCGATTTCCTAACGAAAACCGATTTCTTTTTATTCCTTAGGTGATATTTTTCGTAAAAATAAAAATAAAAATTTGACAATCGGAACGAAATTCAAGGCTTAACTTCTCCACTCGAAGATTTCGATTGGGAAAAATCGTTGTCTTATCGAACTCTGCCCTTTTTCCATCGCTGTTTCACGCGATATCGTCGAACCGCGAGACGATAGCCGACCGGAAACAGTAAGGATACCGATCACACAGCACTTGGCACGATCTAATCCGTCCGTTCGTGAGATTAAAACGAGAAATCCTGTGCGTTGAACGGCCGTGTGACTACGCCTACACCTTTTGCCGACGATGGCGACGGTCTAAATTTAAATACGTGGCTAGGGTAAATATTTGCGATACCCGTTTCAAAACCAACGTTACTGGTCCCGATGTGTCGTGATAAAAAAGAGGAACATCGACCCGTGTTGAATTCGGAATCGAGAAGAAAAATTTGACGTTGCTTCTCACACCTCTCCTCGATCTAGAAAATTGTGCGATATCGACGGAACAGTTTTTCTTTTTTTTCCTTTCCACGATGCACAAAACGGAACATAGAGGAAACGTCTTCTGAGAACGGAAGTAATATCCTTGGCACAATGCTTTCAATTGTACGGCGCTCTATATATTCTCACCTCGATGTTTCGCTCGCTTAGCGTTCGAATCGGAATTTTTGCAAGCATCCGCGAGCCTGAGCATTCCGGAGATCTCGAACCATTCGTATTGCGTGTCCTCGCGCCTCGACGCGGTACGATGCTGCATTCTCAGCTCGAAGCTTCGTCTCTGTTCCCGGAACGGTCTCCTTTCGTTCCTCGGGGACGTCGTCGAGTCCTCTGATGAATTGGAATTGTCGTTTGTCCCGTCGGTGATCTGAAGAGTGGACGAGGATACCATTCCCTGCATCTCGTCTGGCGTTATGTTCTTCGTCAACACCTCGTGATCCTCTTGGTGGACATAGTGGAAGAGGGTTTGGCCCAATAGATCCCTCTGTAACGTCATTCGTACGCAGGCAATGTGTATTTTAGTCGATTAATTCTGCTTCTATTTTTTTTTTAATTTGATTAAAAAGTGGGGGAAAAAATAGATTGTACATTTTAGTTGCTGATTTACAGTTGGAACAATTGTTACACAATTGTTAAAAATATTCGATATTAGTAGAATATTTCAATTCAATATCAGTCTCTTGCATAAGACTGTTATTGATTTGTATTAATCTTGTTTTGTCTTTTATTTGAGTCTCCGTTTGACAAAGTAAATAAAACGTGCGATACAACTAACATTGAGATACAAAGCTTGTTTATTTCGCGCAAGATACTACTCTTGGTGAAAAAATCGATAAAAAGTACACTCCACTTATCTCGTTGCGGTTCAATTAAAGAAACTGGAACTGATGTAACAATATCAGCGAATTATAATAAGATATCCTTATACATGTATAAGTTTGATTTACGAGTTTCAAAAATATTTATCGTTAATTTAAACCTCCAGACAATTAACCTTTTTACAATCAAATGTTTCCTCGGTTATACCGAAACAAGAAAAGAAAAAAAAAAACTATGGTTGATAACAATGTTTTATTCTAATTGAGGAGAATGAAAACTGACAAGTTTTGTATAAATAAATTACTCAGTGACAGCGTTACGATACCATAATAATAGGTTATAATAGTACAATAACGCGGGAACAAAGCGAGGCTTGTAAAAATAGCAGATCAATGTATATGCTACTTAGAAGGATTCAGTTTCACGAAACTTCCGTTGATACTCGTCGAGAGAAGACTCTACACCTCCACGAGTTCATCCTTCGTTTCCTTCTGCATCTGCGACTACATAGTCACGATTTAATCGCGTCCAACGTGATGCACCACGTCGGCGACGAGGCTCGTTTTCACCATGGGGAGTTTCTCCTTGAGAACAATACCGGCTGATTGTGAGTATCTCCTTAAAAAACTGGAGGATCCCGTGCAAACAACTCTCCGCCTTCTTTCTCTATATTTTCCCTCGCACAGCTCTTTCCTTCTCCATTTTCTTCCTCCGTCGGTGTCGTCGTCGTCTCTTCTTCATCTTCTTCGGTCTCTCCCTCGTTTCTATCCTTCCTCCTTCCTCCCTCAGTCATCCTAACGCATCCTTACATCCAGAAGTCAGTTCTCCGCTGACCAGCAAGCAGGTTCGTTACGCTCGAGTGTCGAATTATCGTTATGCTCGAATCTGGAGCGTCGAACCACGTGTTCCTACGGTCGAACCACGTGGATCGATAGAACAGGCACTTTTTACCTTTTACCAAAGTCTGTTCCTCGTCATTCCACGTTGAGAAAAGACTCGTTCAAGACGTTCCCATCGTCATGGTCTTCCTTTGTTCCCTTTCGCTACGGATTGTTACGTTTCACGACGCTGTAAATCCGTAATTACTCCCTTCTTCTTGATAACGCGTTGTCCTCGTCCTTTTTCACGATACACGATCTCTCCTTTGTTTCTTTCACATCGAGAGATCTGCTTCGTTTTCTTCTTGTCGATGGTATATCGGTGTTTAACCCTTTCGAGTGTGAAGAGCTACGTATAGTTATCCAGATATTAATTATTTTTATCTAATTTCGAGAATTTTCATGTTATTTAATTTCGAAGAAAAATTCTTCTATCGATATGTACAAGGAACCTGAATTGGTCGAGCTGCGTGGAATTACGGCGGATGATTCAGAAGATGATCCACCACCATTGAGGCGCGACGTCGGTTTAATGTCTTTCAGTGGCGCTACGTCGATGGATGATGGCGTGTTAAATGAAGGATAGATGGTCCTGAGAAGCGAGAAGTTCTGTTTTAAGAACACTTTCAATCGGAGTTTTCGCAATTATCGGGATACTGCAATCTAAAGTTTCAGCGGGAACTTTATTCGTTACACTTGAGCCACTCCTCGACTTAGAGGGCGCCAGTTATGAAGTTAATAACGAAGAGAAGAAAAGGCGATCGGTTGTACAAGCGTAATTTCTATAACGTTAATCTCGCGGACGTTTCAGTAACATAGATTATGCGAGGATTAAGTATCCATGTATCTAAACTAACTACATTCGTTATTTTCGTCAATCGAGAAACACTATTCTTACTTTGACGGTAACCAAACAGTAACATTACTTTCTATTTCCTAAAAAAAAAAAAGAAAAATACATTGTTCTTTATCGTACATGTAAAATTCATCTATGGAACGATAAACGATCGTTCTGGAATAAAAGTGAAACATGCGCTGTCGGATTGTCGAGTTATTACTAGAAGAAGGCGAAGAAACGCATCGCCCCATTTCCCTGAACGATTTTTTGAAAAATAACCCGGCACACGTGTCGCTGAAATCGCGAGTATTTTTTACCGTTTCATCGACGCTGCGCGAAAGTACAGCATGGAACACGTGGCACGTGAAATTTCCCTTTTGCAATGCATTCTTCTTACCCCCTTCCTCTGAAACTTTTTTTTTCCCTCTTCCCTTTTCCCCCGTTCGTTTACTTTCCTTTTTTTATTGTTTTGTTTTTATATGCACGCGTGCGTCGCAACATTTGTATTCACCTAAATCCTGCGGATTCTGCTGCTCGAAATAATCCGAACCTGAGCACGTGCGGCAAACAATTCGATTGAAAATCGAGCTTGCAGCACGTAGCTGGTTATCGCCAATAAGAATGACAAATGAACGATAGAAAAGAAGAGAAAAATAAATGGATGCACAGGAAAAAGCGACGTACACTGGCCGTTTGTAAGTATTAAAACACCTGTTATGTTCGTACAAGAAGTATTATATGATTTAAACTATATTTCTTCGTTAAAGTTACTATTACATATCAGTAAAAAAAGAAGAATTAGAATTTTAATAACTTTTCAATGATTACTTAAATTTGCTTCACATTCGGCGACGTAATAATTACAAACGAGGGTGGTACGTCGTGTAATTATGTCATTCAGGTGACTACACGTAACATTGATCAACTGTTGCTTACTTCTAAGCAAGAATATCGATGAAAATATTTGTCGCAAAAAAAAAATCAGCAAATCGAACGGCTGAAAAAAAAAAGAAAAAAGAAATTGATAAAAATATCTTGGCGACATTTCGAAGAAATCCAATGCATTCGAATGAGATTCACAATTGGTATGATTCAGCAGGTTGTGAAATCGTGTGAATCTCGATCGTGCATAAATTTGCAGAAACGTCTGATGCGCCGAAAAAAGAATTCTGGGCTGACGGCAATTGCCATGGTGGAGTGTTTGCGTTGTGCTCATCTGATCGATAATTCCAAACCCTTGGCACGAGCTACGTTTCACTGCAACAGTGCAGTTGGATCGCCGGTTTTTATTAATGCATCAAGGTATCGCTCGTACAAAAGAAAGTTCTGCGGGAAAGGAACGCAATTTCCCCCGGTGTTATTAGGTCGCTCGCTGCCACAGAGTTTTTCATCGTCGTTTATATCACATTTCAGCGAACAATAAACCAACTTGAAATTCTCAACAAAATGTTTCAATCAACTGAAAAAAAAATTCTATGTTTTTTTCCCCCTCATGCAAGAGTAACTTTTTAAAATCGACGTGGAAATGATAGATTACGTTTCTTACCAGTAAACGTGAAATAAAAACTTGTATAGTTCACGTGTGTGTGTGTGTGTGTGTGTATTTGCAAGTGGAGTGAGTACATTTTTAAGGGCGGATAGCGTGCGGTGAGAGCGAAGTTTGAGTGGATAGCGAACAGGGCGGAAGTTTTAGAAAGTACAACGAATAGACTATCTAGGGAGTTTAGATGGTAGAACTTTTCGTGAGAAAGGATGTTACGCTACGTGGAGGGTAGAGGAGAAGACTTCAATGAAGTAGTAGAAAGAGGGGTGAAAGTAGCAGATGAAGAATTTATTGCACTTATATATATATATATATATTATATCACATTTATCTCTCACCATATTAATATAAAGAAACCGTGAAAAAAAGGAATGAGGAAATTAGAAAAAATGTAAAACTATTAGTGAAACTAAAATGTTAACATCTAAATGTGAACTTGCCTTACTTTACAATCTTAATAAAGCTCTCTCATTTGCATTTTATATAATTATTTATATGTTGTTAAAATGTGTGTAATTCTGTTGATAAAATGAAGAAAGAACGTGTAAGATTTACCTGCGTATGGCCTAGGTGCTCGTGGACTTGCCGGCTGACGTATACTATTTTCCCTGTGGTCGTGACAATGATAAAGAAGCCCCCGTTTCCGATCAAGTTCTGTTACGGTTTAACAAAAACGATATTAACGCGTTCAACGTGTGTAACGATAAGAGGACTCGAATCGATTTACGAGTACTCACGTCGATGATGTATTGTTCCAAGTCCAGGTCGCCGAGTTCTCGTGGTAGAAAGTCAGGTGTGCCACGTCCAACCGCTGCACAAAAAAAAAGAACATACACGAGTTAATTAGCTGAACGTGATCGATGATGCGACCTGATGAACCGTATAAATGAAACTTACTGTAGTCTATTCTGAGGAAAGCGGAAGCTAATCTCAGGATGGATATTTTGTCCATCTTCCTCGAACTCTCGGCGACAGTAGGTACAAGTACAGCCATTGCAGAGATGTTTGTGTTGAGATTGTCGCGGCGTTGTTTCTCTGCCATGTTCCGTGACGCTCTTGGATTGCTGTAACACGAGCGAGGAAGAGTTTACACGTTAATTATCTTTGTCGATTTTTGAATAATTGTTTTTTCACGTTGCTTAGATAATTTAGGGAAGAGTGGTCGGATTTACGTTTACGAGATTTATTAATTAAACAGATAGACACTTAAAATTGAGCTGAACTCATCATATAGTGACTTATCCTTCGAAACTTATGCTTTTTCACATTTGTCTGTCAACGACATCTATATTTACCTTTTTATAGGCAAAGATTCTTCCTAATTCTACGAAAATTTCGTTTCTATAATACCTAACTCCGTCGTTTATTAAATTCTCGATGCTGTCGGGATCAATGATATAAAGGCGAGTTTTAAAGAATTGTAAATTATCCATGGGAACGACGCACAGCGGTGTCAAAGCTGGCCAATATTCTTAATTTCATACGATTTTCATAAAAATTGAAATTCAAACTATTGAAAATTTCAACTCAGCCAATGCCATTAAAGTAAGCACGATTTAAATTCAGCCAATAAAATTCAAACTATTCAACCAATGAAATTCAACATACTGAAACTTTGAACTCAGCCAATGCCATTGAAGTAAGCACGATTTAAATTCAGCCAATGAAATTCAAATTATTCGCAATTTGGGTTCAGCCAATGAAAATCAAACTTTCCTTGACACATTAAGCATGCTCCAATTTTCAAGACATTAAGAAGCACGAAATTTCGTTAACTAAGTAGTTTTTTTCTCAGTAACTAATCAATATATTTAAAAAATTCCAGTGGCATTTTTGGCACTGCTATATATTTCGAAAATTGAATTTTGGCCAGCTTTTTGTGAAATAGCACTACTGTGTCGACGTGTTGTAAAAATTACAAGTGTATAGGGTTACAATACCTATTTTTGTCGCTCGTGCAAATCAACTTCCGTGAAAATTCACGAGGACTTTGGAAAGTTCCGGCGTAACGATGGTCGTGTTTTCATATCGAGTTTCATCTCGTGCTTTTCCCATGGCGCGGCGCAGAAAGGCCGCGAATGCAATATCTTTCGACGCATCTAAATTTCCTCACGCGCTCGACGCGTGAGTCAACTAGCAGCATCGTGTAACCACGAAAATAATTCCATGCGCAAGCCCCCGCGACACAATTTGCCGACGACATACGCCATGGAAACCAACTCGTATTCTTCACACGTATGTGCATTTTGCGGAACGGGGAACACACGACCGTGTGTCGTTGCGGTATGAAATTCGAGCGACGTTGAATCCTCCTTCTCCGTCTCTTCTACCTCCCCCCCCCCCTATTCTCTCTCTTTTTTCATTTTGTGTGCTTCAGTGAAAACGTACGGACGCTGGAACGGCGATAATTCGTCGCCCGCGGTGAGAATTACGTCTAATCGCCGCTATTTAACATCCGTGAACGTTCCCGTTCCTTTCGGATTTTCGAACGTGATATTGTCAACGAAACGAACCTCTTTTTGTAAGCCTGTCGAAGTGTAAAAACCAAACAATCGTTTCGTGTTAAAATATTCCGATCCGTATGAACGGAGGATTAGTCGAGTAAATAACGCGAGTACGGGACCTGAATGCAGTGCACGGTGGTTATTTTGGAAGATTCCACTTTTTCCTCTTTCTCGACCAGTGTTACCAAATGCAGCTAGCGAATTCTGTTGGACAAGATTGATTATACGTCTCTCGTCGTATCGACACAGGGGAATTAAATGCGTTACCATCTGTTAGGTAATAACGCAACGTAAATGAGAAATATTCTACCTGAGCAACAATTTATTTTAATTAAAACACTGTTTCATTCGATACACACTTGGATCAGTTTATTCGTACCTAAATAATCAATTCATCTGGTTTCGTACGTATGATACGAACATGCAAATAACAGATGCGCGAGTAAGGCGTAACGAGAACGTCAAATAATGCGAATTACGTGTGAGATACTTAACCAAAGAACAGTGAGTACATATTTATTCGAAGAAACATTGAAGAATAAAATATTTTGCATCGCGAAATACCAACAGAGTTTTATACGAACCGTTTCGTCCAATAATTCTCCGATTATTTCGCGTAGCAAAATATCGTTCAACTTTCTCGATCATCTTTTCCACTCTCCAGTTGAAATTACCGCATGAACAACCATCTGACGATCAGTGAAAAGGAGGTATTGAAAAAAAATCGAAATCTGTGTCACATGTAACCAACCATCAAGCAGTCAACGCGTGAAATGGTCTAGCTCGTAACGGCGGTTTCTACTTTGCGACAGCTCCAAGGGAAACGCTCGTCACGTGTCAGACCAGGCGGTCATATTGGTTCAGCGTGGTCTTGTCACGGTCCATTCCCAGTGATTCCCCCCTTTTTGCAACCGACTATCAACATAGTGTGCCTCTGTGTGTCACCGTCTAACCTTGAAACTTCACTTTTTTTTTTCTCCATACACTCGAACCCGTGGACGGATCAAAACTCAAAGGTTACGTAAAATGGTTAACGGCTGGATCCATTCTGGCTTCGATTGCATCGAGTTTGTGCAACTAATTTGTCTAGAGTTCTCGCGCGCGACCGCTAGATGACGTTAATAAAATCGAATTTTAACTGCCGATGACGTAACGGTCCAAACTGGTTCACGGTTCGTCGCTGGGAGTTCAGCGTGTGAAAGCTGAAAAACAGGTTAGAATATGCACTTTGTTCGGCTGAAATATACATTTCACGCCACGCGTAATTTAATTTCTTGTTTTTTCCTTTTTCCCCGCTTGTGTGCTTCATCCAACGTCTAACGATCGTTTTTAAGAACACAGTGCACGAAGACTAAGGTGGATCATCATTACCTTAATATATCATTAATGGTTCTTTTAATGGCTAAAGTTGTTTCATTTTCTACTGCATCATTTCTACCTTTCCACACGCTTATTTCGAATTTTATTTCAGGTAATTTTACCTCGGGAATTTCCAAGAAACATGTCATGGATTTAACTTGTTTGGTGGTGCTCATTATAGAGAAGAATCAATATTTTATTCTAAGAAATCTTATGTCATAATAACTCCAGAGGGACACGACCAACGTTGTTTTTAAATATCACCTTAACGATTACTTGGAAATCTTTCTGGATATTTTATTTAGAAATATCGAAGTAAGTGTAATTAGTATGTATTTCCTGACGTGTTTATTAAAAAAATACGGAATTTTTGAAAATATCGATTTTCTCGATTATTATTCGATCAATTGAAAGTCGAATGCTGAATGTTTTCCTCAGTGAGATGTAACGAGTGTTCGTAAAAGATCCAACGACCTGTTGTGCGTCCAGCAGCAGCGTAACGCGTACACGTTTACGATCGAAGGCAGGAAATGATGAAGCATACCATAAATCTATGTTACTTTGATATCTCTGTTCAGAAACAGCTGTTATGTATGCGTGCGTAATCGAGGTCTATACTACGACGGTAATCTACGCCTCAGTTATTAATAGAATCACTGCCATAGTGCAGTGACGGTTTCAAGTGCAGCACTTTATGCGTCTCGACAAACTGAAAAGTTGCTTCTGACTAATGATCAAACGTTTTTCAATGACAGATAAACAAAATCAATGATAAACTAGACCACTTTAATTTTTTAGTCGTCAAACTTTTTTTTTTCTTTTTTAAAAACAATCATTCTTTGGAAGGTAATAAAATCTTACTTTATTTAGAATAATTAAGATTTCATATCTGCCGGAATGTTGTAGAGACAAATAGTTGTAAAAGAAGTACATATTACATATTTTGAATTTTTTTTTTCAGCAGATTTGTTTGTCATTTTGAGAAGTATTACAGAATTTCAAACACAAACTCAAATTTTATCACGTAGCAAGTTTTACCAACAACTGGTAATACGTTCTTTTTTCTACTACATTTATAACAATAAACAATTGACACTTTGGCCTGGTGTTGGCACTTTAAAGTTCGTCTATAAAAAAAGAAAAGAAATCAAGAAGATCTCGAATTTATCTTCGTTCCCATTTGTTGCGATCTCATTATCCAAAGAGAATTCTATTTCCACGGCCGTATCATTTCAGACCGAGTAAAACAATCAAATTTGCAATTAAATTGTTTGACCCGTTTCTTTATGTTTTTAAATTACAAAGATAACGCTTGCGCGATTTTTAATTGCAAATATGGAAACTGGATCGTTCCACTCGATTGTTTCGTTTTCTGTTTATCTTTTTTTTTTTATTTTTCTCTGTTTTTCAGTTTACGTAACGCAATATGCAGACAAGCGCGTTTTGAAAAATCACCGCGCGCGCCAGGGTTATTCGACGTTACACAATGCCGAAAAGACTTTGGCCAATTATCCTGGTGCTGGCGCGGCCTTGGGATGCGTTATCACTTGCGATAACGCCGGCTAAAACTCTGCTTTAATGTTTTGATACAGTCAGAAATCGAGTCCATGGGGAAGTGACCTCGAGAAGCTTGACAAAACAGGATAAGAAGAGATAATTCGATTCCATGGTACAACCTTGTCTCGTTTCTCGTGTAAACGCGGCCAAAAGTTTCGATTGCTTTGAATACTGTGACAATTATTTTCTCTCTAATTTTAACGTATTCGTAAAATATTGCAGAATTTCCAAGATCCATAAAAAAAGAAAAGAAAATGAGAAGAATTCGTAAGAAGTGGAAGAACGAAATGAAAGAAAGATCGACGAGACGGTTTGATGCCAAAAATATCCTTATCGTGCGCCGTATGACGAACTCAATCGTTATCACAGGCGAGACTAAAAAAATACACTAGTAATAGTTTCGTCGGGAGTCGTTCAGTTTCGAGCAGAATTGCGATGGTCAGGTCGCGGACTCTCCGCGATCGACGGAGAAATTAAGAGGCCTCTCGTGGCTATCGTGCTTGAAAATGAGTGTTAACGTGTACACTCGTGTGCAGCACACACGTCCAGCGTCGATTGAATTTCGCTAACGTTCGCAGTTCATTTATTTTACAGCTTCGTCACGAACTAGAATCGTCAGTGTGTAAACGTCAACCGCTGCAACC